AACAAATTTTGAGAAAAATTATCTTATTATTCAAATAATAATATATAGTGATATATAAAATTTCTCATTTTATCTCCCATGAGAAGATTTTACAAATTAGTAGTATTCAACAATTGTTGAAAGTTTGTGTGAGCACTTTTGCCTATAGATTATAATTCTTCGATAATAATTGGTTGTGATAAATTTTATCTATATTGAATACTACTTCTAATAAAAATCAAAGAACTAATTTTTTTAAATATTAAAAAAATATTAAATATCATTGTTTAAAAATATTTATGCATGTTCAAAAAATTAAAATATTTATATTTATATTCATATGTTTTCATATTACGTCTCATGAGCTTCATGATTAAAAAAACATATTAGATTGGTTGAACTACTTGAAAAACTTAAAAACAAGTTTTTATGTTATTATTAAAAAAATATATGTTTTGAATTTTAAAAATATATTAAAAAAATTATGAATATCAAAAAAATAGTTCGTTTTGAATTTTTTTATCTTTATTAATTTTTTTACCAACTGAAAAATATTTTATAGCTTTTAATTTACATATAGATATATAATGTTGAAGATTTCAAAATTATTTGTTGAATAAAAATAAATACAAGAGAAAAGATTTTAGACATGAAGATTCTAAGAAATACGATAAATAAATTATTATGATTAGTCAAAGAAAATATGCCAAAGATTACTTGCAAAGTTAAACATTGAGTACTGCAAGATTGAAAACTATAGAATTTTTTTTAAGACTACTTTATCATCTCATTTGTCAACACATAACACCCACAACAATCTTACATTCAAGTCCTTCTACTGCACTTCAATAAATCAATATTCGCAAATTCATATCAAATCCAAAAATTTGTACATTGTAATGATGTCAATTGAAATATTGGATAACTCAATGTAATTATGTATGATGCTGAAGAGTACAAATCCAATCATTAACTAACTTTGAATAAGATTTGTTGAAAAAATCTGAATTATTTATAATACTAATACTTTTCTGTTTAATAATACATGCATAAGCTGAAAGTCTAGATTGTAAAATAGAAAAGGTATTTTTTTTTACAAACATAGAGTATATGACAGCAGTTTATAACAAAGGAGATAAGTTGATTGGATTGACTTATTAAATCCGAGATCAAATCATGACATGGTGAATGTTTTTAATGATATTGTGCAGGACTTTACATATAGTCGTGAATGATCTAAAAGATTCGAAAGAATAACATTTATATCAATTATTAAATTTTCAAACAGGTTGTAATGAATGAGATGATTGAACTAACTTATATATATATATATATATATATTACAAAAAAATATTGCATCTTTTATATTTCTAGAAAAATAATTCCTTGAAATTTTTTAAAAATATGCTACATTGAAAATGTTACATCTGAGCTAAAAAATTGTTATATACAATTTATAACATATGCACATAATGTTCATCAATTTTTTTTTGGTTGAGATCTGAATCTTGTTTCAAGAATACATATGTTGGGTTTTTTTTATTTTTTTTAAATTTAATAATATAAATTATAAATATTATCGAAATTAAATTTAGAAAAAATAATAATTATTTTGAGCCATTTTTTGCGATCAGTCAATAACTCAAAGCTAAAAAACTTTTTAGGAGAATTTTCATGAACCAACGTTGATATAAATAAACCGGAATAAATTTGAGGGAGTTTTAAATGAATACTAATATGTTCTAAACGTCTTAATGTTTTGATATTTTCTTTTTCATTAATAGGTAATTGACTCCACCAACGATAAAGTTTTTGCTAATTGGATTACTAATAGATAATAGATATTTCACAATATAAATCAAAGAATAGATTGTTACTATTTGGACCAAATTTGGACTAATTTTGCATAATTTGATTGTGATTAGCTAGATAAATATTTTTTTACTAAATAGTTTTGAAGAAAAATTTCTAAGGCAGAATTTAGGTTTTTTGGAAAAAAATATCGGGTGCTTCTTTTATATAGTCTAACAAAGCATAACTACAGTCAATTATTATCATGCAATTAATTTAAACATTTTAGATCTCTTATACAAGCATAAGAATGTGATAATAATTAAAAATAATTAGCTTATATACATACATTTCAAAATGCAACTTTCATTATAAAGATTCTTATTCATATTGATCTTAGAATTTAATTAAGATATTAATTTAACTCTGATTATTTTGACTTAATTAGTTAAACTATTGAGTTTGACATTATATCATGGAGTTTGACACAGATCTCATTAATATTTTGTTAAGATTTTGTGTAAGTAGAGTCTAAGGTGTAATTGTGAGCAGAGTGCAAAGTGGTGAGTAACATATTTCTCCCTATTGGTTGTATTCTTATACTTTATTTGTCTACTTATCTATCAATCAATCTAATGATTGGTAAAAAGGTTTACACTTTTTTAAATGCTAAAATTCTGAATGCAAAAAATCTTCAAATTAATTTTATTGCTAATTTTTTTTATGATATTGTCAATCAGATAATTTATATACTTTTCGTAATAAAAAATTTGATAAGAAATCAAACATAATTATAGAAAATATGGATTTTAATATTTTTATTCAAATTTTTATTTATTATATAGTGTTTCGAAATACCATTTACTTAAAATCTCTGATATGATATGCATTTGTAACAATGCATGTATTTCATACAATTTATATCACATTTTAAATTCTGTTTATCATTGTCAACATCTATCACTATATAAAATATACTTTGTTATAAGACACATAGTGAATGACCTAAACCTCTAACATATAGAAGTCTGATCTGGAAGATAATAATCAATTTTGATATAATTATTATAAATTGAGTTTCATTAAAATACACTAAATCATCATTTAAGTTATTAATATACATTGTTAGTTTTAATGATTGACTTTTGATTTTTTATATAAAATAACAACCAGAGTTCAAAATTCACAACATTATTGTGATGAAAGAAATTTAATTTACAAAATATGTTTTTGAATGATACACTTTGAACATATTTTTCTTGGAAAAACAATAGTTATACAAATTTCAATAATATTTTCAATAAGATAATAGGAAAATGTATTTTTACAAAAATCGCTATGATTTGAATTGTGATGTATTAACTATTTTACAAGAAAATGCATATAGCTATGAATCAATTATATGAAATATGATCATCTAATTATTGCTTCTGAAGATATGTCTCATAAAATATGTAAATTTGAACTGTTATTGAATCTAAACAAATAGTTAGGAAATGTATTTGAGCTTTGTTCTCCATATGTAACACATCTGCACTTCATGCTGAAAATTTGTACTATAATTCCCTCGCAGATAAGACAAGCTAACAGGTAAACTGTCAATATATTGAACTCGATGCGTATCATATGCCGCATTGTGATTTGAAGTCACTTGAGAGCATAAAATCATAAATTTCATGATATTACATATACTGAAAGACGTACATTGCAATGTTGTGAAATCTGTAATCTATGTTAGCCATAAAGTGTACTCTCTTCCCTAAGCCAAAACAAAAAAATGTATCACAGTATCTATCTTGCAAGCAAGTAAATAAATTAGTCAACAGGATATATTGAAACCTCTCACTCGAACACGGTGTTGCTTATTTGGAGTAATAGGTTTCCCATATTTTCCACTACCTTTTCTTTGTCCTACTCCATGGTTTTTGACTGAGTTGTCATACTGAATTGTGGCAGTCAAATTGCGAAGGGATAGCTACATAGATACTCAACAAGTTACGTTGTGAAGATCTCAGTTTGTTTGTAACAAGTGGGGCCGAAGAGTCTAAATCACCTTCCAAGCGAAGGTGAATGTGCAGAGACCGCTCATGAAATCGGAGATGACGATCTATTGATCGTCACTTGTAAAGATCTTGATTCGAACTTCGGACAGTAGGATGTAAGTATCGTACTCTGTAAACTCATGGGCATTTGCTGCTAGGCTGAAACAGAAAGGCGATGTTAAAAGATGTTTCTCTTCGACGAAATCGGACAATACCCCGATGGACATGCAGATGCCAATCCCGACAGAAAAGATGAAACCTGGCGAGGACAAAATAGTCCTGCACTATTCAAATGTATGAAATCAGCAAAATAGAATGAATCGCTTTTCTCGCTTTTGTGCATGTTCGTTCTTCCTGACACACAACTGACCGTCCTGGGGTTGCGCGATTGCCAACACAAGGTATCGTATCCATTTGGCATTCAGCATGTACTCGAAACTCGCATGGGCCCGGATAATTAGCTGCGAGCGCAGCCAAGCTGAGATCTCACTTAAGGCTCTGACCTTCTCGGACATTGGAGCAAACTGTGAATTCGAGAAGTTTTCTGTGGATGGTGATGAGTGAGATCGGGTGGGAAGTCGCGGTAATTAACGATAAAATGGAATGCTTTGGGGTTGATGTTCCTTCATGCGTGTCCGCAGAGATCCCGAGGGGTCACTTTCCCTTTGTCTCATAACTTAATCAGAAGTCCAGGGGCGGCTCCTCTCGTCGGGAATTGACCCGTCTTCCATCAGCTCCAACAATATGGAACTGCCAGATTCGTTTCCACAGGAGGATAGCGTGTCGTATTTCCCACTCATCTCTCATCACACTTGCTGGACTTCGAATTCCCACGCCTTGTGGAGTGCAGAAGATGGACGGACTGATAAGTCTGGACTCGCACGACACATCTACATTTTTTGGTACGTCGGTGTCAGAAATGACTCGAAATTCCAAGAGGGAAGTGGATGGGTGTGTCACACAGCAACATCCTTGTAGCCCCTGCTCAGGAAAGCCAACCTGTTGCTCAGAAGATCTTGGAGGTCATTTGCATCAACTCTCGTCACTTCGTTTCGTCTAGTCTGTGAATATGCCCTCAGCATCTTCAATCTTCGATCAAAACCAGGGTCGCAAGTTCATAGTTCAAACCATCCATTCCCCACGAAATCTTCTTAACACGGACGAATTTCTAACCTAGAGTGAACGGATCCGAGCCTTTGAATTTATAAGAACTGATACACTCGTGAAGCTTGTTAGAGTCTGGATTATACGATCGGTGGGGAGTGACGGTAGGACTGTTGTGAGATTTCTTCTTTAGACACTCGTAGATAGACATTTAATATATTTGTGCCTCGTGCTCATGTCTGTGGTGGCAGCGGAGTTACTGCTCCGAATGTGCACTTAGTGGATGTTTTAGTTCTGACAAGCACTTCCACGTTTTTCTACATAACAGATCATAACTCCTCGGTGCCCATTATGCAAGATGTTGTGGTCGTGATGCTCAAAAGCTATAGATACCCGGGACACAGTGCTAACTCTTGGCATGTCGTTCCATCATCGTGAAGGGGATGAGACCGACCTTCTCAAGATGCATTCACCTCTTTCGCTGATGACGGACCACTGATATGTACATGACCACCATGAAGGTACACCGTGTCGGCAGACAGACTCGCCCGTCCATCTTGGAGGGCCACACAAACAAGACTCCTCGATGCAGCTGCACGATGATGGACACAACATTTTAGTGACCTCTTGTATCCTGTGCCAAAATATCCTCCGGACTGCACCTATCAGATTGTAGCAGATGCTCGTCACAGTCGAAAGGCCTCAGCGAGCCCAGCAGTTTTGGGGATAGAACTTTCAGCTGACATTGGGAACAGACAAAATTCATCCGACGGATTACTCTGAGGCACGATCGTCTTCATGTTTTCGTTACAAGCAATCAAAATTTGTCCGATCCTCTCTCTCTCTCATCACAATGTCAACAAGAAACTCTTGTGGTTCAAGAGAGGAAATGCCTATGCACCCTACCTACTGATTGACGTTCTATGCAAGAGGGTGATGGTTTTGCTCTTCACCTCAGAAAGGTCCGAGCTCTGATTGATCTTATTGCTCTCATGTGCAAGAGCAGAAACTGTGACAGCTCCAGAAGAAACACGTCTTCATTCTTCTGGATCCTTCACAGTTTTAGAATAGTGTAAGGCTTCAAGAGTACCTTTTGTGCTGGCAATGTTCGCATCCTTGGTTATGATGGTGCCCTGTTCTGTCCAATTATAGCAGCGACACCAACTGCTCGAAGACGATGCAGAGATGCTAGAATAACATATCTTACCATCAAATGAATAAGCTCCGTGAACCCGATGCGGACCAGCACTTGAGGATGTTGTGTGCAAAGACCAATTATGCAGTTCTCACACAAAAGTAGGGCCTAGAAAATGCCTCTTCGAACGCTAGGAGATGATCTTGCACTGAATCGGCCAGTTTGAATTGATGAATCGTCCTGTAAACACTGTACCAGACAGAAGATTGGACCCATGAATGAATGCATAACGAAGTCTGCATCATGCTACGAAGAAACTATCAACGATGTGTGGGGATCTTCCAGAAGGCCTGTGCAATGATCCCCACAATGATTCGTCATATGCACATGGGAAGCGACAGAGACAGGAGAATTTTGATACACAATGTACAGGGCACCAGGAAAGGCCAATGACACGACCCCTGAATGGGTCCTTGAAGCACAATGATAAACTACGTCCATAGCCATGAGTACAGATTTTTTTTTTATTTGTGATTGATGTTCTCAAGCTAAGTGTTATTACAGTACAGAAAGTTTATGTACACGGGAGACATAAGATATACAACTCAGCAAGGATAATCTTTCCCTGAGGCTAATAAGCCAGTAGCCTGTAATTTCAATTCTACATAGAAGTGGCGGTGGAACTACAAAATTGTCAACAGCTTTAGATCAGAGCTCTGTTGCTTTAATGGTGTCGGGTCTGCTGCTCAGTGCAGCCTATTTGACCGTAGTGTATCTAAAGGTCCGCCTCGAGAGGACAGATGCTGATGTGATCTACTGCCAAGCACGTCTAAGTGTCGGTGGACTAGCGCAAGAACTCGGTGATGTATCGTGGCGAGTGAGTCATGTCGTCAACTGACAGCTTTCTCTCGTGCTCGCCACTGAAGGAGATTTTTTGTTCAAATGATCCGGATTTCATCATCGAGCGGTCCTTCCTCATTCGCACCGACCCAGGACTTGAACAGTAATCGAACATATCATCACTTGCATCAGCGTAGGATGTGTCTTGTACCTGCACTGCATATTGCAGATTCCATAGAACATCCTCCATGGATGGTCGAGCTCCCATATCGTCCGCAAGACATTTCATGGCAATGTCTACGACCGTTGCCAAAGACTCCCCTCCGCATTCTCCCACAATGGCCGGATCGATCAGGTCCATGCTAGGATTAAGGTCCATAAACCGTGCCTGCAATCATTCAGTCGCAGCATGGAGTCAGTGCTGTGTATCCCCATCCACACAAATCATATTCTATCTTCTACTTTTCGTTACATCATGCCAAGAAGTTTTCGCTCCAGCACAGCGGACTTACCATCTCCACAATTTTGGGTTTCTCTCCCAAGGCCTTCTCGATTACAGGTGGTCTTCCCATGATTATCTCCAGCAGAATCAGGCCGAAGTTGTAGACATCCATCTCCTTGGCATATCTCCGTCTGTCGGAGTCGAGAAAAAACTTATTTAGGAAGAATTCCTCAAGACGAAAAGGAACAGCATTTCCATATTCAGGGGCAAGATTCAAGAAGGAAGCAATGGTCCATCGCATGAAATGTGCAACTGCTGATGATTCGACATGATGTGACCACAAGCTACCCCTGGGCCTCAGATTTCACAATTGGTTCAGGAAGAGTGAGGTAAGGATCAGGACGGTACCTGTAGTGACTTCTCCTGACATGGGCGGACTGCAAGGAACGAACGATGGACAGCAGCAGAGTTAATATTAGATCGTAGGGAATTATGACACAGATAACAAAATGACTTCGGCAGTGGCATCCCATCCACTTACTTGTTAGATAAGCACCAAAAGTTTTAAGTTACAGTAAGATGAACGCAGCTAAATTCGGAGGATTGAGACCCTGTACTCAACAAACTGAACCGATTCATTGACTCGCTGATTCCTTTACTGAGTCTAACAAGAAGCTTCATGGCCGACGTTTCTTGAGTCGAGATGCAATGATAGCCTGGCAAGAGGCCTTCTCTAGAATATCTGTTTTAGAGCACTTGGAAAACTCACCTGCATGGCTATGACATGGGGCGGAGGCCTGGGTAATCCGAAGTCGGCAACCTTAGGCACAAAATTATGATCCATCAGAATGTTCGACATTCTCAAGTCGTGGTGGAAAATGCTGGGCAGCACACCGTGGTGCAAGTAGTGAACGCCCTTGGCGGCTCCGATGACGGCCGCTAGCCTTCTGAGCCAGCTCAAAGTATCCTCAGATCCTGAGCACGGAGCAAAAGTCCACATACGAAGTTCAGCATTTCCGTCAGAGGGTGCGTTTTACTCGATTCGGGCATTCGGGTGAGAGCAAATGGGTTCCCACAGGTCGAAGGAGCGGGAATTACCAGATATATGGGTTCGAAGATTACTATTGTCCACGAATTCCGTGACGACCAAGAGTCGTCTGTCATTGCGATTTCCGGATTCACCATCGACGAAACAGTAGCCGATGACACTAGCCACATGATGATGCCGCAGCTTTGACAGAAGCTCCATTTGCGCCTTGACGTCGTGGGTGTCGAGCTTCGGGTCGAAGCAGCAGCATTTGACCGCCACATTGGTGCCATCTTCCAGCCGGCCTTTGTATACCTGCACAGATGCACACGCTCAGTCTTCGGAAACGAATTCGCAAATCCATTCCAAAATTCGCAAATCTCATACCACCTCCACGCCACAGCACACAGACACACACAGGCACGAACCATTTACCTTGCCACGGACGCCTTCGCCGATCAGCGCACTGTCACTGAAGTTGTCAGTAGCCTCCTCCAGCTGCTCGATGGAGAACACTTGATTGTGAGGAAGTGACAAGACGCCGAGCCTCATGGACTGTGAGAGGTACCCTGCAAATCGAACCACAACTGAAGTCAGTCAGCGCTTTCTCTCTGTATTGTCAAACTGCTCGCAAGTCAATCAATCCACAGCGACCAGAATTTCAGATTCGTTCCTCCCGAGGTCCATCACCGAGCGCATTGCTGCCAGAGGAAGAGCGCATCGTCCAGCGCCAGCCAGGAGGACAGTTCTCGAGGTTTAAGAGATGGGAAGAAAATCCCTCTGTCGCTTCACATGCAGGGGAGGCGCACGGGGGAAGAATCACCACTCGCGCTCGCATGGCATGTCGAGAATCTGCGCGATCTAGCGTCTGCGACTCTATTCAGGACGTGTGCATTGATTGGGGAGGGAGCACTCACGGGCATTGGAGAGAAGCTCGGACGGGATGGCGACGGAGCTGCCGGCGTTGGAGCTGGCGGTGTAGTCGCCGATGTGCGGGGAGCGCTGGGTCTTCTTGCGCTTGCACAGGTAGACGAAGACGACGGCAATGATTGACAAGACGACGCCGACCCCGCCTCCGACGAGCCCGGCGATGAGCGCGACATTCTTGTGCTTGCGGGGGCTGTACATGCTGCTCTCGTACAGGCAGAAGGACTGCGGCTGCTGCTTGGGCACCTTGACGTCGAAGCAGTTGTTCTGGATGTCGACATAGCGATCGCCCTTGGCCGTGGCGAGCGCGAGCACAGTGGGCAGAGCGCCAGTGAAGAAGTTGGACGAGATGTCGAGGTACACGAGCCCCGGGTCCATGGGCATGTCGATCGGGAACTCCCCACTCAGATGGTTCTCGGCCAGCAGAATCGTCTCGATGTTGGGCAGCGTGAACAGCGACAGAGGCGGAAAGCCCGTGAGCGAGTTGAACGACAGGTCCAGCATTCGCAGGTGCGTGTAGTTGCCGAGCAGATCGTCGCGGATGGGGCCCACGAGCTCGTTGCGCGCGATTTGCAGCACTACCAGATTGCTGCCGAGCGACGGGATGTCGGGGCCCAGCGCGTTGCCATTCAGGTTCAGCGATTGCAGCTTCTGCAGCCTGCTCAAGTCCGGGATGGGCCCCGAGAACTCGTTCTGTGCCAGGAACGCCGTGACCAGGTTCGGCAGCAGCGCGAGCTCGGCCGGCAGCGAGCCATTGAAGAAATTGCCGTCGAGCAGGAGAGTCTCCACGTTTTGGAAGGTGGTGGTGTTGAATCCGTGCAGAGGCCCCGTGAAGAAGTTTTTGGAGAGGATGAACGAGCGCAGCTGCGGCAGGCGGCCCAGCCAGTCGGGGAAGGTGCCATTCAGAAGGTTGTTGTCCAGGGCCAGGACCTCGAGCGAATTGAGCTCGCTGAAAGAGAATGGCACTCCTCCTGAGAAGTAATTCGAGCTGAAATTGAGCACCCGGAGCTTGACGAGGTTGTCCAGCTGCGATGGCATCGGCCCCCACATGCCCAGCGACACGAGCTCCAGCACGGTGAGGTTCGGGAGCAGCATCAGCGCGTCGCCCAGAGTGCTGGACGAGAACGACGGTGACAGTCGAGAATCCGCCGTCTCATTCCTGTAGTCCTGCACGGCCGATGGGCCCGGCTTATCCCCCACGATTCGCAGCTCTGTCAGCGATCCGTTCTCGCACACGATGTTGAGGTTCGGCGATGGCGGAAGATCGCAGAAATCCGACCACGTGTACCATCCATTGAGAGCCGGAGGACTCTCGAGAACATTTTGCAGCTGCAGGAGTCCGAGGATCTGGGACGACGGTAGCGGCAGCAGCCGCGCTGCGAAACATCCCGAGGCGAGCATGCAAGCTGCGCAAGCTATCAGCAGCAGCCGCAAATTTGCCCCCCGCTCCATGAGCTGTGCGTTGCGTACAGCGAAATAATCTACGCTCGGTTTCTGTACACTGATCACAGCGGCAACATCTAAACCCGAGCCGAAATGCCAAAGCCTCTCTGCAGGCCTCCGAGATCCTCGCTGAAGTCCCAGTCACAGTCACAATATCATCTAGCTTGAAATTCGTGGCCTTGCCTTGCCACCACGAACGCGATTCTCAAGAGGCTGCTGCTGATCCAAAGCCAAGAGCTCCGAGTGAATGCGAGTGACCTACGAACTACACAACCTGTAATCCTCGGCAGAAACTGCAAAACCCCTGTTCGAATCGAGCCTCGGAGACAGATGCATGTAGACGAGGGGCTCACTGCGAAGATCGCCCGAGGTTGCAAATGTATCTATCGTTCGATCGTCGAGCCCGTTCGAGCGGCACTGGGCAGAGTACAGTGAACTTCTCGGAGGCATTCTCTAGCAGAAGAAGGGAACACGGAGGAGCTGAATCCCGGAGCTGGGATCGCAGGTGATGATGGCTATTCGCATTTGTGGCGACTCCTCAATTGCAACGTTCTGTCGACAGAGTTCCAATTCTTGAAGCTAGTGCTGGATCATTCCAGTTTGCGATGCCAGCCTGCTGGTTGGCGGCTCGGCAATCTCCTAAATCTGACCTCCCCCGAGGTGGAATTGCAGCGGAAAACCAAATGTTAGCAGGAGCAGGAGGGTGCTGCCAGCAACAATGGTGGGAGCTGAGGTCGGGAATCAGAGAAGGGTTGTAGACAAGACAACGAGCCAGCTCGAGTGGCTGCTTCTACTACTGCTATCAGTGCAACGACGGTACTGGCAGCAGCAGAAGGGGGAGGAGGAACTCGTTTGCGTCACGAGGTCACGGCAGAGGTCGTTAGTACTACCATTCTGCGTCCTGTTCGCTCCGTCTGTCCAACATGCCTTGTACAGCAGCACTCCAATTAGTACGCGGGGTCGCCCGTGCCTGTCCGCAGAATGATGAAGAATCCTACTCACATTCTCATCGCAATTTGGTAGTGATTGCTGCTTTAACCATAAAGATCATGTCCTCCTCAACACCGCAACCCCATCCTTCTCTCCTCAGACCCCAATGTACATCATCATCTCGAGCGCACCGCTGCTCTCATTCCACCGAATCATCTATTATCTTCTCCTCGCTCTCCCCCCGGCCTCGAGCAGTCCCGCGGGCAGTGTAAATAAAGAGTTACTGCTCCCCAGATCTACCGACATGGAAGGACTTATTTCGTCCTCCTGCAGTCCTGATTACTTGCTGCCGATTGTCTTCCTCCTTCGCCGATCACTCTGATGCTCTCAACTGGAGGTGCTGCAGAGGTAATAGTATATGCGGGTGCTCATACGAGTTTGACCAGCTGAAGCCGCATGGGCCGGACAGCCCATCTATTGGGGTGCGGTGCAGACAGTTGCTCAGAGCTGGGCGTAGAGCCGAGACCTCGCTCGCTCTCACAGGAGGAGGACCTGTGATTGTGATGAGCTAGTGAAGCTACTGCGCCTGGTCTTGCTGCTGCACTAATGTCAGTGAGGAGTAGGAGTAGTAGTAGTAGCCCATCAGGAGCCTACGTCAGAGTGTCGGAGCTCCTCGCTGTCGCCTGCACTCCGAGGCTTGCTTTGCCTCGCAGGACGGAAGGAGAAGCCTCCAAGTCTACATCACGACAGGCTCGTCTTCCCGGCCCCTTGAGAGTGATGAGTACCCGTAGATCGTCGGAGTCGTCTACAGCTAGGTGCCACCCACTGTACACGGCCGATTTCAGAATCCCTCAGCTGTCTGTCACCATCGCCATCACCTCACCACCTTCCTTCCATTCCGTCCACCCATGTCATCCGACTCTGTTCGTCTCCCTCCCTCCCTCCCTTCCTCTCTTACCTCCACGTCCCTGTGCCCGACTCAAGACAAAGACCCCTTCCCCGAGGAACCTTCCCGAGCTTCCCTCCCTCCTCCTTCCTTCATTCCATCCATCCATTCATCCACCATCCTTTCCTCCTGGAGTCCTCCCACTCACTCACTTCCGGGGATTCATTGACTTTGATTCGACAGCGCAGCTGCCTTGTACTCGCAGCGAGGGAGGGGATCTCCTTTCATGAGGCACACAGTGCTTCCTTCCGAGGCCCAGGCCATGTGCCCTGCGTCGTTCGGAGAGAATCGGTTGTTGGAAGAGGCTCGCAGACTTTCCCACTTCCGGGTACACCACCACGTCGTACGCTGGGGGGTGGGGGGGGGAGCTGCTCTAGGCCAGGCGGGGCTAATCTAATCTAATTGGCAACGCAAATGGAAGGGGGGCGATGTGACATGGGGGCCGGTCCGCCTCTGAAAGAATCCAACGCCGTCCCAGTGGGAAGCGGGGAAAGGACAAAGCGCCCTCATTCTCCGGACTCGCAGCGCTCAGCGCCGAACTCGAATCACATTCTCGTCCTCGGCTGAGTGAGCTCTGCTTCAGTCACTCATGGTGTCGTCTTAATGACCCAAATCAAATCAATCATTTTTCTCAGAGCGGGCTCCTCCAACAAGTCGTCCGCACCACGCTGATACGACACCTCCAAGTCCGAGCCATAGGTAACAGCCGTCGTCATTATAGAGGTACGACAAAGATCGCTGGCCGCGGCTGGAGGCGAAGCCGTCAGCCTCCAGTCCTCTTCACGGGAACCGCGGCTCGGCTGCGTGCGACCATTCCGGCCCAGCCCCCGACGGTCGGGTGCTTTTGTCGCACCTTCGTCCCCTTCGTTATGGGCCAGCCATTTGACGGCCCCCATCTTGGCACTTATCCATTACCAAACGACTGTCCTCGATCTCTCCCTCCCTCCCTCCCTCCCTGCCTGTCCTCGTTATCTTTCTTCAGACGAGACGAGAGGCCGGTCTGAATCCAGTCGGCATCGTGACCGACGTCGGATTCTTCTTTAGCTCATGTGATGTGACTGCTGCTGCTGCTGGGCCAAATAGCAGTGACAGTAGCAGTTACCCCGGCAGGAGTCTCCACTCCGGTCAGCGATGGTCTGCTGTTAGTGGTGCCCACTCTGGGAGGCTGCGAGCTGAGCTGAGCTGAGAAGAGCCGAGCCATGAGCCTCCTCGCTGTAGAAGGTGTACAGTGGGGAGGCGACTGCGCCGGGTCAAAGGGCTGTTGGGCCGGGTGGACAAGATTTGCGAGGTGCGGATGATCTCAGCTCTGGAGCTGGAGCTGCTTTTGGGGGGTTAGATTTGACTAAGCAAGGCTTGCAGCTGCGGCAGTCGAGGGCCGATTAAGATTTGGGTGATTAAGATTAAGCTTGGACCGTGTGAGGAGAGGGCGATAAGCGAGGTCCAGAGCAGAGATTCGAGTCTGGGGCGGGCGGGCAGCTCTCGGAAGTGGGACTGTGGGACCTTTGACAACAAGAAAGGCAAAGGCAATTAAGTTGTTGAGAGGCTGGTTTACTGTTTCGAGTGTACTCCAGAGCACAGCGGTACGACAGTCCGGATACATGAGGGGTTTGTGGTTATCATCTTTAATGAGTCGAGCAAAAGTGCTTGTTCGTTATCTGCAAGTGAGGCAACTTGAATCATTGAACCACGATGCTCTTCGAACTATAGTGGACGAGTTTGAGCAAACAATAATGAGCAAAACAGTACCCAATGTGCGAATGATGTTGATCCAAGTCTTCACGACGACATCACCATCGGATGGAGGCGGTCGACCACAACGACAAGACGGCCACGGTGCTAGAATAGCCAAACCTCCTTTTGTCCCACCCACAGCAAGAACCACTTCTGAGTTCGCGCATCTTCTCCGGTGCCTAATAATGAAGAAACTGCGCATGAGCAACACGAACGAAGCCCTCGCCTTGAACAAGACAAGATTGTGTCACGAGCAAAGGGCCGTTGGACAAACTCAGATGTCTGGGACCTTGTGAGCCAACCAAGCTTCTTGAATCGTTTCGTCCTCATTTGGTCACAAGCAATGCGCATGAGAACGAGTGCACGACTTATTCTTAATGGCTGTTGCCACACGAAGAATGTACTCAATTCCTCACCATCTACTTAAATGTCGGTACGAGATCTTCCGTTTGTAATAACTTTGCATCGTCCCGTTTTCTCCAAATTTGGTAACTTCAAACGGAAGAATCTTGATACACTTCGATCGCGTTTAACGAGTACAATAGTTGCAGAGTCGTCTGATTTCTCGCCCCACTTTATTGATAGGTACATCTTAAAACCAACCGACTCGACATCCTGTACATCTCATGCAGAAGAGGAAGTGACAGTGAGTTCTCAGCATGCAACAAATATTCACGTGATTAATTTAGCAGGGGAAATGCAGGGAATAAGTTAGCAGCAAGACCAGATAATTTTATCTCAATGTAACGCTGTATTCTCGTGATGATCTAAGTTACTTCCAAACTCACCGACGACACCCATGACTTTGCTTTACGTGGCCGACTATCTTTAAATGCTAGTCCATGGAAAAGCGTCTTCACATTAAAAAACTCTCGGGGGGTGGGGGAAAGAATAATCTGCCTGCCGATGTGAATGAGCATCTCATTCCATCTCGAGGAAGAACCCCAACGCCCGTCGGCATTTTCATCCGCATTGTCCTTGTGTGACACGGCGCTTACAAACGAGTTCCTGTAGAAGATCGAAGACAGTACTTTACCCAATCTCGAAGCTGACTTCATGGCAGGGAATAGGGATAAACTAAATCGCGTAGAACGGCAACCGTTTAGCAAAAGTTTACAGATCCAGAGTAAAAAAGGGTCAAGGTTGCATTCATGCCTCTTCCCCATTTTGAGGGAACAAGATGGGTGAGAAGAGAAGCTACGCAGGGTATCATGGCAAGTCCAAGATATGAGCCAGTGGGGGGCATTCATGAGTTCCATGAAGTCCTCACACGAGTCAAATGTGATGAAGATAAAGTACAAGGTCATGGAGAAGGATCAAAAGGTGGAATGTTATATTTATGTTTTAATACTTGTATGCATCCCTCCTTTTTCCACATCATAGGAGAGAATTTTTAAGGTCGGATCTCAATCGGCCTTGCAATGAAGCATGCTCAGAAGGCCTGCAAGCACGCATTCTACTGCATCATCTTGAGGCATTGCGGTATTCTCTGATGGCAAATTCCATCTAGCCTTCATCCTCGGACGAGCTATTATAGCGTAGTATGAGGCTGTCAGTCATGGATTGCCACTTTTTGGCAGAAGAACTTTTGTTTCCGAATTGCTTTTGTTTCGCATTTGTTTCTTCTTTGGTATGCTTGGATTTTTCTTACGGAAAAAGAAACCTCTATCCTGAGGCAAAGGGGAATCCTTGCAGGCTCCAGGTATTCCTGGTGTTGATTGCTCTGAGGCGATATCGAAGATGTGCGAAGCATGTAACCATGTCCAAAAGGTCCGGAGCGTGAAAGTCATGCGACACTAACCAACCCTTTTTTCTGGGGAACGATAAGCCAAGCTTTTGTGGCAATAATTGACCCGGTAGCTGCAGCTACATCACCTCTATCTCCATCATATTACCGGTGGCCGTTTTCCTCATCGTGTGAAGTCTGGCATCGAGCCAGCAGCATTTTTGATTTTCTCATCCACATCAAAACCATACTCCTCCCATCTGACCTCTTCAACAACCTCTTCAAAATCTTACCGGACTCAATAAATTTCGTTCGATTTCGGAGACCCGTCTCGCTTCAAGACCCAGACCAATCATTTGGATATAATCACTCAATCCATCCCTGAAGTTTTACACATTCTGATCTTTTCGTGACCTCCGTTCTTAAGTTCTTGAGCCCTTCTTGAGAGAGTAACTTGCATTTTTGTTACATTTTTTTCCGATCGCTTGCATTTTTGTCTTTTGTTTCACGTGCAAAGAGGACCGACATTTTTCTGAGTTTCATTGCGCGGATGCAAGCGATGGCTTGATCAAGTTTCGATCAGCACGGGTTTCATCACCACCATGATTCTTCTACTTTGCTCGAACTTCCTTGAAGAGCGAGAGAGCACAGTATCCTATGAGTGGTAAAAACAAAAATGGGAGGAAGTGCGCGAAAACGACAAGAGGAATCGCGAGTAAGACACTTAGGGATGTTTATTACGACGCTTGGAAGACAAGAGAACCATTGGTTACCATTGGAAGACGGCCAGTGGATGTCTGTGCAAAGTGCCAGAGGAAGGATTAGATTAAATTATTCGATCCGAGCATGTGCCTCCTTGGCTCCTGAAGACACGCCTCCATGAGCCCATGTGTTCCCTTGCTCGCTTAGCAATGGTGTCTATCCATCTCGAGGATATGTCTGTAAAGATGAGATCAGACTGTAAAGCACTTGGGAAGTTGGAACCGCCTGCCTACCATGCACATGCACCTTCATCTCTATCCTTGAGGATCTCAAAAAGCAGATGGTTCAAAAGTGTCTTACCGTCTTGAGACGTGCTTTGGTAGCTGGTCAAACTCTCCTGAGCTCTGCATGAAACGCTTAACCTCATGCAGATTAAGCAAAGCTCATGTGGTGCATTAGGACCAGTCTTCGAGTGCGCTGTCTGCATCTGTACAAGAACGATGCTCCC